TTTAGAATGAACTTGTTCAATGGAAGAAAAGAAACTACAATAGATGATAATAAGGTGATTCAATTGAGCAATAAATTATTAGATGGCCCAAAGAAATGAAAGGTCAATTTCTACAACTTCATCCATATTAGAATATCTTATAAAATTATAATTCAATTATGGCCATAATTTCTTTCTAATTTTTTACATCTCAACTTATTCTCTCAAAGACAAACAAAGGTGGCTCATGCGAACCACGTGTTTGGCCCATGAAGTGAAGCAAGGTTCGAATGTCACTTCTCCGTATCAAAACTCTAAATTATAGATAAAACATGGATTATGAGATCATGACAAAAAGCTCAATATGAGGAGCAATCTGAGTTACACTGACTTCAACTATCTATTATTTTGTTATGTTCTAACTTGATTAACTTATTTGTATCACAATTTTTTAAAATAGTTACATTTCCATACCAAAAAGTAAAGAAAACCCCTTTTTTTTATAATTACCAAAAATTTATGAAGTTAGAAAACTAAAACCAAAATTGTAATCCAACGGATACTTCACGTTCCCAACTGAGTTTCCTAGGGAAAAGATCATTATATCAATACATTTTACATGAAAGGATAATATGATTAGCAAATTGCAGAAAATTGAAAAATGTATTCCATAATTGCATTAAATTAAAAGTGGAAGGGAAATGACAGGATGGATGGCAGAGGCAGAAAGTCAAAGGCGTAATAATGATCTATCATTCACTGTCTTATCCCAACAAAACGTCACCGTTTGCCCTCCACTCCACTCTCCTGCAATCCCAATTTATAACCCAAAACCAACGCCACAACCAAAATCAAACACAATCTTCTCTTCTCTTTGTCAACATCATTTAAATATGAACATAAAACAACCCCACTGTCTATATTTTCCGAGCTAAATATGGAAATATCCGATGCCATGATATATTAAGATTTAAGACCAACAATCTCTAAAGTAATGTCAATGGGAGTAAACATTAATTAGTTTCACCATCATATAACCTTAAAGCTAACAGTTCTTCTTCCTTGCCAATTAGAACCTTGAATTTCATTTCTTCCAAAATAAAATTAAAAGAAAAAACCAAAAAAATGATTGCTTGCATATATTAAAATTTTACTACTTGTAAATGTATGTAGAGAACTTCGATGTGGCTCTTCATTTCTGGGACCAAAGGTGAGAACATTTGCCATCCAACACACCATCCTCCTTCCCTTTGGGGCATCCCCATCCCTCGTTTTGTTGCTTTAGCAACTCCAACCAGGTCTGCATCTCCTACATAACAACCATTCCTTCTCAGGTTGCCAAACCAGTCGTTTTACAGATCGGACACAGATTCTTTTGCATCAGCCACTGCCTAATACAATCCGTGTGGAAGTCGTGCCCGCATTCCAGCGTTCCGATGTCTTCTCCTTCCATGTATTCCTCCTGGAGATTGGGCGCGTTAGAATTAGTCTAAATAGATATACAGGGAACAGCAACACAATGCCAGATTATTCATGAATGAAACAGGTGAAAAACAATCAGGAATCAGTCACTACCTGGCAAACACAGCATGGTTCTTCCTCCACCTGCGATTCAACAGCATTGACATGCTTCTTCTGTTTCAGACGAGCAACAATCGCCTCTTCACTTAGTCCGGTGTTGACATTTCCGATACGTTCTTCCAAAGCCAACAATTCCTGCACTCAACAAACCAAAACATGAACAGAGCAACAAAAAGGTCCAAAAACATGGCTTCTTTTGGTTTGCATCAGCCAGACCTCATACGACATGTTATCAACGTCGAGACGCATATCCCTGTGCCTATCATAAATATCAGCCATCCCAAAAAATAGCGACTGGTCGAGGATCATCACATCCTAAACAAAAGAAATTTTAAAGCAACATTAATATTCATGACCATGGTGGTGATAAAAACATGACTTGAATGTTGGGCTACTAAATTAAACTACCATAGAAGCTTTTGATCTCATTAGTTATGATATAAACAAAATTTTCTCCATGCATACCACTATTTTCCCAATTTTGGTACACAAATCCTCCTCCAGCCCTTCCAGCCCTTGCATATTTAGAGATATATTTGATATTATATTCAAGGTCTTTTGGATACTAGCCATCTTAAAGACTATGTACCAATCAGTGCTACCAGAATCCCATTCACATATACCCACCCCCACCCCCCACAAAATAAGGACAAAATAAATTGCTACAACAAGATTAGGTGCATCGTAATCAAGTCTAAAGCCATGGAGGCATATTTTATAAATACAAAGACCATGTCATACACATCATCAAGGTTATTCATATCAACTAAGTGAACCATTTTGATCTTTCCCAAGTCATCACAACTGCTTTATTTCTAACTGTGAACTGGAAAAGAAAACTGAAGTGCGAACAAAACTAAGTAGCTTTTTGCCATCATCATTGGATGTGTTAAATCTTACACATTCTAACTAATCTAGACAAAAACATGCAGCATAATGACTGGCTGTATCCCAATTCAATCATGTAAATTCGCCAATGCACCCATTGACCATGATACGGCACCAATAAGGATCCTACCTCAACTCGTAAGCTTTCACCCCTGCGTACAAGGCCCAAGACATTGCGTATCTGCTTCAGACAAAATAATAACATGTAAGCTTCTCATTACAAAAGATAAGATCATTAAGAATCAATGAAGGATAGAATATCAACAGTAAGCTAAACGGTCAAAGACAATTATACTCCAATAAACCCTTTTTATAGTACATAACCCAACATACTTAACACTTATGGTGTAAGTTTACTTATAATTGGAGCAAAGGATTACAAGATCGTAGAAAAGAAGATTGCTAGAAGGTAGCTCATGCTAAGTAGGATTTCTGAAAGAATTTGAATAACTTATAGTCCAGCAGACAACGTCCTAGCAGGCACACACCCTACTGCACTTACCTGAAATGCAAACCTGCTACCAAAATGTTTAATACAGCGCAACTTCAGAAATACCAATTCCACTTTATCACTTTATGACGGCTTGCATTAAAAGAGAACTTTCCCAAATATTCAAACAATAGGCCAAATGGTTTTTAAAAATTTCATCATTCTCTTTAATGAGTCAAAACTAAGTTGAGAACAGTACCATCTTGACCACAGATGAAATTATAGATGTGCATGCCTAAGCATGGATATTACAAGGGGAAGTAATACAATTACTCGAATCCAAAAAAAAAAAAAGGCAGACCAATTTGATAAATAGAATACTAGTTTGTGACAAATCAAAGAAATGAGAAACCCACGGCAACTTAGTTTTCTCCACTAGAAATAGAAGTCCAGAATCCTTTTCAAGAAAAGAGGAGATTGATTGACTGAAGAAAGTGGTTTGCATAAAAAAGAATTCATGGACCAAAGACGTTCAAGAGATTGATCAATCAAAATGTACAGCTATGCAGTTGCAGATGAAGACAGGCATTCATATATAACACATATGCATCTAGAGCCATCATTAAGTTACTCCATGAAGGAAAAATTCAACATACCTCAGATACAAGTCTATTATTGTCACTTCCTTCACTAGAAGCACCCAAGGCTCGTAATGAATAGGGAAGACCAAGTCCACTGTCGCCTCTTCTTTCCATCCATAATGTAGACCTCGGTTGCAATAAATGGTGCCCCCGGCGGCCAGATCCAGATGAAAGAACCATATCCTGGGCAGAGGTAGAACCTGATCGTGAATAATTACTTGTTCTGCCTCCAGACTCACTCGTAGCAGAAGAAAATAGCTGCCGACGAACATATTCTGTTAACCTCCTAGGAAACTGCGTTGGAGAATTCTCAGGAGGCATCCAAGGTCCAGATGGGGGATGGACCCCTGAACTTGAACCAACCCTGGATGTAGAAGCAACATTTCCAGGAATGGACAAGTTTGCAGATGTTAAACCTCTACTTGATGGATTTCGAACCAAATTCCTCAGCTCATTTGCTGGAACAAACATAGGATGTTCAGATACATTTCTTCCTATGTTGCTTGTTCTCACCTCCTCACGTTGCACCACCTGTCTCTCACCTGCAGAGCTGGATGAACTACCACTTCTTGAAGTAGAACTCCCATTCCACCTATATGGTTGTAGGCTTCGGGGTAAAGCAGGCACATGTATCATAATTGGCTGACCTTGAGCAGATATATTGTCTACAGCTGGTGCCGGCCTCAAGTCTAGTAGATGCTCAGCAGGTAGAAGTCTTGCTGGCAGCTGGGAAGATGAGACCCCAGGATGCCTAACAGTAGTTCCTGCTGATGCAAAAGACTCTTGTGCATTTGATGAACTTATTCTTATGCGATAATTTCTCTGAGAACTATCATCTGAGCTTTCTGCAACAATCGGCTCAGAGAAGCTGTTCGAAGTCAGTTCACCTGCGCCTCGAACAGGGGCTTGATTCCCTCGCACTGGTGGAGCAGGTATGGTTAATCTACTCCCTGTGTTGTAGCGACCGGAGAAAACAGAAAGAGGTGGTTCAGCACCACTTTCAATATGCTGAGAGTAGTTACTGCTTCCACTTAAAGAGGACTGCGCAACATTTCCTTCAATAGCTTTTCTTTTACATGGTGCACGACGACCATCCAAGGAAGAGCCTGCTCTACCATCATTTGCAGCTGGAAGTCCACTAGTTCCAGAAGGAAGTAAAAGAGGATCAGATGCACTGGAACATAAAATACTCCCTTCTTCCGGACCACTAGATTTGTACATATTAGAACCTTCATTAACTCTGCTACTGTCACCTCCATGACTTGCAAAACTTGCATTTAAGTTGAGATTATGAGGAATAGCATTAGAATTGGAATTTTGTATAATCAGTGGGCTCAGATTCACATGACCCAGTGAAGGATTATTTGATGGTTCACAGAGTCGGTTTTCCGTAACGGGACCATCTGCATCACGAGTCATTGAAGACCATCCAAGCTCAGCTTTCTGCTCATCAGGTATCGCCTCGGTTTGCATATCACAAGAGCTAGGTTCCCCCAAATTCCATCTACTTAAACTTCGTTGCTCATGGCTCACAGAACTCACATATCCAGTATTTATATCAGAAGTAGGTAGTAAATATTCTTGTATCCGGTTTTCTGCCGGATTCCACATGTTATTCCAGTAAACTGGCTGGTTACCAGGATTATTTGATGAAGATCCATGTTCAAAGTTTATGGTTTCTGACAAGGAACCAACACTACTCCTTTGCCCTTGCATTAGAGAAAATGTAAATTTCCCTATCGAAAATGAGCCAAGTCAACAAAGTTTCCCAAACAACAAACCAAGTCACATAAACTTGATTGAATCTGAAAACAAATGGAACAGAGAGCCAATTAGAAGAAGCAGTTTCAAAGCTTCATACAACATTAAAAATTAACTTTTAAGATCTGATAGATAAATAAACTCAAAGATCAAACATAATAGTTTTGCTGGCACGAAAACACTAGATGCTTGCACAAATTACCAAATACAATTTGATAGCAATCATAACAATTTCTAAACGAGTACAGGAATGTGGCCCAAAAATGAATGGACAAAAGGTGCATCTTAAATGACAAATAAATCACAAAGTTAGAGCTTCATTCCCCAAAATGATTGACCTCAACAGCCCAAGTTTTCACTAAGCAATATTCATTTTCTCTGCTCCAGACTCCAGCTTAATGGTCAGGTTAGCCATAGCAATTCAAGCAAATAGCCAAAAACTAAGCAACACTCATTTTGGGACACTTGAAACAATGTAACACTGGAAGTTTGCAACATTGTCTAAATGCTTTTAACCTTCATAGCAATTAACCTTCAATTTATTTCACTTAGTACTTAGCAAGTAATATGAGTATTAGAAAATTTAGAATATTTTAAAACCTACAATGCTCTAATACATGAGTTGACCAATCGGCTAGAAATGAAACTTAATCAGTAAGGGCAAATTCCAAATTGTGAGAAGATAACAAAAACTAGAATATTGGGTCAAAAGTAAAGAAACACTGATTCTGGCAGTTGAAACAATGTAAGACTGGAAGTTTGCAACATTTTCTAAATGCTAAATAGCATCTTACAGGTCAACTGTCCAATACCTGCGAGAAATTGCAGTCTCAATTACGCATGGAAAGTTTTATAACATCATATTAACGAAAGGAAGAAAACGAGAGAATATGGAGAAACCATTCAAAACCAAAATGTTATATTACACACAGTTGCAATATCCCACTTCTCTGACATGCAAGCAATTGCAGAGTAAGATATTCATTTACATGTTTCTATCCCTAGAAGAAGGCTGACAACAATGGCGACATTCCACATTAATATCATGAAATAGTACAAATTTGCATCTTGTCCAGCAACTGTCCCAATGCCAAATGGGCAAATGAACCAAAAATTTCAGAGTTCGAACTCAGCGAAACATCATAAACACATCCCACCCACAAGAGGAGAAACGATAAGGTACAATAGCCACACAACTGAATCCAAGAATCGACAAAATCAGACTCTCGCAAATTAGGCAAACAACTTAACCCCAACTATGATCAAAACAACTGAAAATGAGAGCTTTCTACTTCAAACAACCTAGAAAACAGCACTGTTGAAGGCGGAGAAATCAAGGCCGCTCAACTTATATCCATAATTTTGGCGTGATTACAACCATCGTCGCCGAAGTCGCCGATAGGATTAGTTCAGAATTAAGATTGAAGAAGTCAAAAGGCAAACCCTTTTTCCCCTCGATACAACCTCTAACAAAATCCAAACGAAAAGAAACAAAAAAAAAAAAAAGAAAGAAAGAAAGAAAGAAAACGTAAGAACAATATGATGTTTGAGCAGTAATCAAGTTATCCGCTAATTTTGCCGTCGCATTAAAAACCTTCACCAGGAAAGAAGATGATAACCGAGAAGATCAAACATTTGATTATTGAATCATCGATCATCGAGAACCGATCAACGAAGAAGAGAGAAGACAAGACGATGAGAGAAAACCCAGAAAACTTACCGAACAGATGGAAATTTTTTGAAAAGAAAAGGGGGTCCGATCTACGAAGAACGATCTCGGATGAAAACCCAACAAGTAATCCCTAAATGGAAGTGAAGGAGAAAGCTTTATCTTTGTGAATCGCCCCCTCGATGAAAGTGCGAGCTAACAAAACCCACCGAGTAATGGGTGAGGGAAAGGTGGGGGATGTGAGGTAGACAAAAGACCATGTCCAAGAAATGGAGATTAAAGAGGGCAGTAATCTTTAATTTAAGAATTAACCCAGAAGAAAAGGAGAGAGAGTAACAGTCCACAGACACAAGGGCAGGCCGTTCCCATTTCCAGACAAAGAATTTAATAAATTTCAAAATAAAAATAATAATAATAATAAAAATAAAAGTGTTGTGTCCTGTTGGGCCGCTTACCAAATGGCTCAGGCCTCAGGTTCAGGGGTCTCCATCTTCCAAAAAAATTTCTCTCTCTGCATTAATCTTTTCTCTCTCTATCTCTAAACACGCAAGAAAATTAAACAAAAAAAAAAGAACCAGAAAAGACCCGCCCCCCAATGTCCGCCGTAGACAGCCACAGCCACAGCCACAGCCACAGCCCCACCCAGTTGCCCAATTCCCACTTCTCTCTCTCTTTTCTGTCAATTTCCCCTCACGCCACCGCAGCCCCCTTCCTCCGATCCTCCGCCCTTCTCTCTCTCTCTCTCTCTCTCTCTCTCTCTCTCTCTACTGTGAATTAGGGTTGTGAAATATGAGCAAAGCAAAGATCATAAACGTGGGCGCAGATCCTTTTTCCCTTTTCCTTTGATGGGTCCCATTCCTAAACTTGAGATTTCGTTTCCTTTCTTTGCCAGGGCTGTTTGTGTGTAATTTTTGACCATCTATTAATGGGGTTTTCTTCACCCATCACGTGGTCAAACAAATGTTAATCACAATCATTCAAAATAATGACCCAACTAATACACACCAATTCTCCTTCTCCTTCTCCTTCTCCTCGTGTAACGTAAAAATTTGGCAAATACAGAATGAATCGTACATGCGTCTGGATGGGATTGTTTTTTTCCCAGTGGGTAAACGTTACGCGTCCAGGCCTCCCTTTTGCTTAAACAAGTGTGAAAGGGTGAGGCTAGTTGAGTATTAGGCCAGATTCTAACCCAACTTCCCTTTTCCATTCATTTGAAAAGGGAAGTTGGGTTAGAATTGTGGGCCTATTTGATTCTTTATGGTTTTGGTTGTATTGCCACTTTCTTTTCTCCTTTTTTTTTTTTAATTTGTTACTGTCTTTGAAATGTGGGTTTGCTTTGCTTTGCTTTGCTTTGCTTTTCCCATATACCCTGTATTTTTTTATGCCATAAAATGAGGCCACACAATATGATAGCAATTTGTCCATATGGGTTTGCTTGTAAAAACCAAATGCTTAACAGCTCCTCAAGGGGGAAATTGCAAGTTTTGTTTTGGCCCTTCTTTTTTAGAATAATAATAATAATAATAATAATCACAAGTACTAATTATGATAACGAGATGACGATTCTCCCACCAACGAGAATATTTAGAAAATTTCAATGCTTTTGACTAATTGGAGAAATATATGGCCAAACCTAAGCGTTTAGCTAATCAACAACCCAGACGCCTCAGCTTATGAAATCTAATCTAGATGCTTAGTTTAAATAATATATCAATTTAAAATATGAGGCCTCAATCATGCACCCACATAGAGAGAGAGAGAGAGAGAGAGTCTGATGGTGGTGTTACAAGTTGACCCTTTCAATAAAGAACCTACTTGTGAACTGAGGTAAAAACAAGTGGTTAGTTGTCAAGTTGGAACAATTAAACCCAATAATAATCTCCTATAATTACCATCTTAAATCCATTTTCCTACTCTTCGCTGAGTGGGTGTGGTGTAGTAATTGCAGATTGAATATATTTACAAAAAGGAAAAATTCAAGTGACCCAAAATAATGGATCTGCCAAACCCAGAGATTGAGGGGATTTTGCAGGCACTTGAGATGAGATGGGTCACTTTTTTTTTTTTCACCATGACTAATGAGAAAGGAAAACGGCTGAAGATATAATTATCAAGCCAAACCAGAGGGGAAGCAAGATTGCCTCTCTCCTAACCCACCATTATAAGTGGGCATCTTTGTCACTTACCATTTTTCTTCTCAAAATGAGTACAAAGAAGATTGAAATTTAATCAAAATGAATGTGTCAAAGAAAGAAAACTGGCGCCAACTTTTGTCAATAATCAAACAGCAGAAAATTGCGTTAATCAATCCCACCTATCAGCCAAGAACTTTAAATAATAATAATTTTAGAAAAAGAAAAAGGTGGGGGGAGGATGAAATTGGTACAACAAATGAAAAGGCGCCTGCTGCAATAATCACTGAAAACTGACATGTCAATCCCTTTCTTCTGCAAATGTTGCAGTAAATATACTTACCAAACCATCTAGGAGTTTTAATCAGTACACTAAGCAAGAAGGGTAAAAATGATGCATAGGTGTACTGGATGGAAAGGTCATTCACCCATAACTGCAAAATAATAATATCACAATGGAGTTTTCTCAACTACCAGCTTAAAAAATGCAACTCACAGCAATAGACAATAAAAGAAAAAGGCCCTTTTCATCATTAAGTTTCATTGAACTTTGCATATACAGTTGGAGATTTTGAAAGTAAACTGTCTAAGAATTGCCCGTGATCTACAAATAGATACTAGAGTGAACCCAAAAATATTTACTAACTTCACCATCAACAGAAAGGATACCACAGCAAGCAAGCAAGCATACCAAGCATCTGATGCAATTTAAAATGTCACTCTTCCACTAGCCTTATAAATAAAACAAATAGACTCATCCTGGTGTTTAAGACAGTAGGTTGAAAAAATAAAATAAGGAACAGGCAGGTATGGTATTAATCTACTGGCAACAAACAAAATCCAATTCATTTAATCTACATTTAAAATTCCTCTTCTATCCACAAAAAGAGGAAAGAAAGAAGAGCGTATTGTAAAAGTTAAAATAGGCAAAAGTTAATATTTACCGGGAAGTACTCCAGCCATTAAATCTTAATATCCAGAGCAAATAAGGCTAAAAATTACTTGGTGAAACTTAAATACTTCTCTCTGTCCCTGCATCATTATATCCGAGCTCAAGATTTTCTGGTCATCAGTAAACTTGTTTGAGCTGTCTTAACAGTTACCAGGAAACTTGATCCATAAGGTGAGTTTGATACCTATCAAGTCCTCGTCCATAAGTAAAGCATTTGCTCGCAGCTTAAGCCTCGCACGTGGGAAGTCACCGGCACTCCAATCATTGTACAAAGAAGAAGATTAATGTTTGGCAGCAAGTGGTAATCAAATAATTAGTATAGAAATACTAAAATCCGAAAGGGAAAATATATGCAATTTCGCAGAGACTTCACAAACAAAGACGCGTGTCTGATAAGTGATAAGATAAACATCAAATAGTTATCTTATTTTAATTGTGTCCACTTTCTTCACAATCCACGTGTTCGAAGGTAAATGCTGTTTCCTAGGTGTCGGTTGGACATTGGCAATTACAGGACAACTTAATATCTACATAATGTAAAGGCAACCAATGAAATTCACAAGGGTCAATACCAAAAACGCATAACAGCATGATATATATATTCGAAAATGTCTTACGCTTCCACGCCAAAATGACAAATCTAGCTGTCTCCAAAACGCAAGGCCAATGAACGTTAAATTTGTCAAGCAGCCCACGTACCCTCATGCGACTAGTCCATCATTCAGAAACGCAATCTAAATCATCAGCTGGGATGTCATGCAGCAGCAGCAGAGAAACACTCCTTAAACTCCCTCCGAAACTTGTCTTCAAAGTCTCAGCGACTCAGAGTGTGAAACTTCAGTTCGGTCCATCCCGAAAGCACCCATGTAGTAAAGAAGCAATTACAAGGAGACGAAAAAGCACCAAAGAGAACTTATCAGACCATATTCAGGGGAAAGTGGTGGTGATAACCAAATCCAACCTATTCAAGGAGAGCCACGGTAGACCTTCTTTTCTCATAATAGAAAGAATACACGAATAACGTGAACGCACAAAAATGATTCACATCTTTCTCTGTCATCTCTGCATCTTCAGTTACTTCCAATTTGTAATCATTTAAACTAGCCATTCTTTGATATAGTGTCCACGTTAATGCTTAGAATTACAGCAGGAACCATTATCAACAAAAACAAAGGCTCAATCTCTGAGCTTGGGAACACCAGAAAGTCATCAAATACACTGGTAAATAATAAAAATGAAGCATGCCGTAGGAATCATACGACACAATGCATCCATAAAGAAAAGAGGAGATGGGGGAACCTCAAAGGGGGAGACGGTTTAGATTCTAGAGGGCAATTTACAGCAGGTATTTGGACATTCAAGTGTCATCTATCTAGATTAAACTCATAGGATAACTAGCCCCTGAACCTCAAAATTTCTGAGTTGACCCTTTGACCACCATGGTGATTGCCACGATGTATAGATATCAGATATCATATCCACACAGATGAGAGGGATTTTACAAGCTATATTCAAATAAACGTATGAAGAAAGAGTTAAACGGAATAAAACTATAATAACAAAATTTTTTGGAGAAAAAAAGAACTAAAATCAAATCTGCAAAATTCAGATGACAATATTTTTGTTTCTTAGAGGAAACACATTTATATTTAAGGGGAGAATAATACTAAAAGAGTGGGAGATAAGACAATCCAAACCTAAGCCAAGGGTTATGAAAAAGATTACCAATGGTCATGAATGGTAGGAAGAGTCATTACTGAAATTTTTATCAAGAGAGCTGCAATTTTAAGCCAGAACAGTAATTAAATGAATAAATCATCCCAATTCCCTGGTTACATGATCACATCTACAAAAAGCCTTCTATTTCTCTCATCCATATAAGCCAGCAGATTGTGTTCCAAGAATTTAACCAGAGGACTTTAGCTTTGCAAACAACAAAAGCCACAGAGAATGAGAGAGTAAATATTTCTTTCTACGAATGAGAATACAATGTAAAAATCTTGGTCGTCATCATAGTTCTACTGAAATATACAACCATATTCAAGAGTTTATGCAAACATGCATGCATGGTGCATGGGAGAGAGACTTTACCAGAAATTTTCTAATGAAGAGAACACTTAAAATACACAGGAAAGTGACACGACCAATCTTCCAGCCAACAGGCTGGAAGTTGCATGATTGCTCCAATTTTCTTTGACAAAAGTCGAATTGTCAATTGCTCTACATCTAAAGGAAAACTAAGGGGAACTGGGGAATATATTTATTATTAGAGGATAGATCAAA